CGTGCAACTTGCTGGTGAGGGTGTAAGTTGGGACAGACCCATCTGGAGGGGAGTCTGTCAGTCTTTACCAAATATTGGGTTTTGCAGTGTTCTATTTTTAGCATTTCTCCACAGCATGGCTTGGAGGAGCAAGTCACAGACAATTTGGGCACCGGTAGCCACAGGCCTGACGATCTGAGGCAGAATGCCAGCCAGCAAGGACAGACTGATGGCCGGCGAGGCGGCCGCCTCTTCGCAGATGAGGAACTGGAGGCTGGTGAGGGGGGCGGCCCACCCCCAAATGCACACAGCTTGGATGAGGCCGTTACCCTCATTCTCACAGGCACTGTTACCCTCAAGTTTTTCTTCTTAGTAGAGGTCCTTGCCCCGTTTTTTGCCAGACTCCTCGGTGGCAAAACCCACCTCATCCAGGTTCTAGGACAGGACTTACCTTGAGTAAGTTTGCAGAGAAAGGAGCCCGAAGAAAATCCACAGAACGTACAGCAAGGCCCAGCCCAGGTTGGGGTGATCCTGCCAGGGGGTGCCTGGCGCCACCTGTGGCTTCTCTGTGTTGAAGAGTGAGGCCAGGGTCCTGGCCTCCCACCCCGAGCCCTGCTTACCGTGGTCAAAGGGAGCAAGCGGGAGCCCGCTCCTGCCGACTCTAGTCATGGGGGACTGGTGGGCACACCCCCATATGTTCAGGACTTGCTACTGCGGGACTGGCCTCGGGGGTGCTGCCCACCTCGTACTGCTCCCCCTCTCCCCACCCCATGGGTGAGCTGTGCTCTCTGTGGTTCCAGGGGGCCAGTCTGATAAGCCCATTAGGGTTAGTAGGTATGTGGAGTCAGAAGGTTGAGGGCTGGATCCCAACGGCGCTCGAAGCAGCTGTCTGACCTTGGGCAAGTCATGTAATTTTATTGGTGAGCCACATCCCTAAAGAGTCCCAGGATTGCTACCATGAGCAGACGAGCTAACGGATACAAAGTCACTTCAGCAGCTTGGAAACACCAGAGAAATAAGTGTTGGTCGTAGATCTAGTACCTAGTACCTCCCCTGATTGTTTTCACAAGTGCGCAAAGGCGTCTTGAGGAAAGTAAAGCCTTATCTGGGCATTTCTCAAATAGCTGGCCCTGAACAGGTATTTAATGAGCTGAGCTCTCAAGGGATTTTGAGGTACACGGACCCCTGAGATCCTCACCAGAGAAGTGACTGCGGTGCTGGCATTGGAGCTACCTGACAGCGAGGGGGTGGGGAGGGAGGGGGGCGGAGGGGGAGAGTCACTTGGAAGGAGGGGAGCGTGGGCTTTGCCCAAGTGCAGCATCAACCCAAAGGCTCAGGGAATCTTAATTCCCATCCCATGCCACAAGACCAGGCAGGGTAGTCTGTGGTGACAACAGGGTCCAGATCCCCCTCATGGCAGGCGACAGGCAGGCTGGGAGGTGCTAGTCATTCCCAAAGAATATTAGAAAAGCACCCCTCAAAAAACAGCCTTATTTTAGGCTATTTGAAAGTGAGGAGAAAAGGTATATGACCTGGGGACCCCACCCCCAGCAAATAAGGCACATATAGGATGGGATGAGGGCGGTGCCGTCTCCCAGAAATCCCCTCCCCAACCCAGAGCAGGACTGAGGGCCTGGACTGGGCAGCAGGGGAAGGAGGAAAGGGCCCCGGGGAGGAACACCTCCCTCCCTGGCTGCTGGCACCACTGAAGCTGGTCCTTGGAAACGGGTTCAGGAAGAAACATACCTGCCTGAAAAGAAGTCTCCCCGCCCATCCCTAACTTGACCGTGGCCAAGTAAGCCTGGCTCCCACCACAACGCTCTGGGTTGTGCAGCTTCAAGGAGCAGCAGTGGCTTGTTCTGGGGAGCAGAGTAAGGGAGGGCTGTCCTGACAGCCTGTTTCCCTTTCCAAGGCTGAAGAGGAAGGGGTTCCCTCTCTTGTCTCCTCCTTCCTCAGGAGTCCCCTATGGGACACTTGGGACTTTCCCAGCCCCTGCAGCTCTCTTGTCCCGCCCTGTGCTCAGTTTCTTCCACCTGCTGAATACCTACCATCCTTCTGCTCCAAGCCGGGTCCCACCTGGTCCAGGAGTCTCCTTCTGATAAATCCAGCCTGCACACCCCTCCTTCCCGGAAGCCTTCCAGCACCCAGCTTGGCACTTCCTATCACAGTCTCTTTATACTGGAAGGTACTTTTGATGCGAAGAGGCCTGGTTTAGCTGTCTCAGGTTTACAGGTGAGGATACTAAGACCGTGAACACTAACGATATTAACAATGGCGAGTACAGAGAGTGCTACGTGCTGGTCGCTTCCCGTGAATGAAGCTACGCCAGCCTCACATTGAAGCTCATTGTATGACCGAGAGAGCTGAGGCACAGAGAGGCAAAGTAGCCTGACCCAAGATTGTGCAGGAAAAAAGAATCAAGGCCAGGATTTGAACCTTGAAAGTCTGGTTCTGGAGTTTATGCCTTGTTTCTTGCCTTAATCTAGCTTAGGCTTTTATTGTCTCCCTTGCTCATCTATGTCTGTCTCTTCTTCTGTGCAGTTTTGTCTTATCCTTCCCTAATCTGCGCCCCTCTCCCCGCCCGCCTGGGTCCCGTCCCGTCCCCGCTGCGCAATGGCTGAGCACAGCAGGTGCCTTGGAAGATGTCCCAAGCAGGGTCACCGGTCATGTAATGGAACACTTCTGACACCAGGTGGCAGCATCGGCCAGGAGTGCTCTCAGAACTCTGCACTGAGACCCGTCAGTCAAATAAAAATTTAAACTTTTATTTTTGGTACAAATGATAAATACTTTGCATTAAAAATCTGGGATTCAAGTTTTCCTGGTACTTCATGCTCCCTCCCTGCCCCAGAGCCTTACAAAAATATTTCCGTTTAGAGTGCAGGACGCTGGTGCCTGTGGTCCCCACAGGGTCTGGGTCGGGGGGGAAAGGCACATATGGTTTGTCTCCAGGCTGGGAGGTCCTCACGTGCCCCAGCGTTGGAGGCCAGCAATGACAAGAATGCACTGTGATCTGGTGTAGGGGCTATGGCGATGGTCCCCGGCAGCCCCCCTCCAGGGCAGGGATCCCCTCCTTGGTGGGCATTGGGTGGTGCAGAGGGGCCGGCTCCTTCCAGATGGGTGAGTCGGGGAAGGGGTGTGTGTGTGTGTGTGTGTGTGTGTGTGTGTGTAGGTCGGTGTCACAGGCACAGACACCTTCCAGGATCGAAACCTTCAGAGTTAAATAGAGTCACGGGCCATCATTTGGTTGTTTGAAAGAGAACACTTCAGGGGGAGCTTAAGGGAAGGGTGGCAAATCTGGAGAGCCCCCTTCTCTCTGTCCCCAAGGGAGGCACAGGGTGAGTGGGGGGCTGCCTCCATGAGTTAACCCCTGCCATGCCACACCCCGTTTCACAGTCTCATGTGATGGGGCCAGAGGCTCCCGGGTGATCGAGGGAAATAAGGCGTCAGTGGGAGGGGTGCTACCCCCTCTGGTGGCCTGGGGAAGAGCGGGGAACCCAGAGCAGCCACCTCAGGGACCACCGTCTTCTCCCCCGCCCAGCTAGGGCTCCTCGTCCCAGAGGCACAGCTGCCTGTGGGGCACGTAGAAGTCAAAGCGGTAGTTCTTCTGGCAGCTGCGGATGCCGCACCTATAGGGGGCCGGCCGGTCATGGCTGTGGCAGTATTTGAGCAAACACGGGTACCAGGCCAGGCTAAGGCCATAGCGGCAGATGCATGGCCTCCCGCTGTCCCCCACCTGCCCGCAGCGCCGCAGCCCCGAAGGCTCCGTGGCCTCAGGCAGAGCCTCAAACACGGAGCTGTCCACACCTGGCAAAGAGACGCGGGGGTCAGCGGTGGGGAAAGAGAGGGCACCCCCCCACCCCAGACCCACGCTCCGGCCCTGCATGGCCTCCTGAGGCCTCCGGTCAACCCGAGGAGCCAAGTACCCATTCTTGGTCTCCTTGCTGATCGATGAGAAACCCGGCCCAGAGGCGTTTAGTGATCTGCCTGAGGTCACAGAGGAAGGAGTGGAGTGAGAAGGGAACCCCGGGCCATCTGACTTCAAGGCCTCCACGTGGCAACGCCGCCCTATGCTTAGAAACATCGCTGTACTAGAATGCGACAGAGTAGAGAGTCAAGGAGGGCGGCTTCAAGGAGGGGCATCTGAGGACGGCCAGCATGAACGTGCCGGGACATCAGCATGGCCAGGGCACACGCGGGGGTGCGGGAGGGAGATGGCGGTGACCTGGCCCCTGATATCTGCTCAGTGGCCAGGGGAGGGACAGGCCCCAGGGAGCAGGGGGCAGTTTCAGACTTGCACTGCAGTGTGGGGTGCAGCTCACCAGGGAGGGCTGTGTGTGGAGGGCATGAGCACAGCTCTCTGGGCGTTTCGAAATCCAGGGGAGCCCTGGGAGGGGCAGGCACTTGCCCCGTGTTCAGCCGGCTGGGCAGAAGGACCAGGGACTTAGACTAGAGCTGTGTCATCTCCCGGTGTCCTCTATACAGAGGACCCGAGGACGGTCCTGGGAACGGTGTCAGGAGAGGCAACGGCAGCAAAGCCACACAGGCCTAAAGGCAGGGAGCCCACAGAGACACAGGGCCCTCAAGGAGCTCGGCGGAGAGCTGCTCACACCAGAGGAGACACGAAAGAAAGGAGAGGTGCTGACTTCCGAGGGGGGGCGGCAGAGGTGGGTGGGCAAGAATGGGTGTCTTTAAGCCCCACCGGGACCCTACAACCTGGGCCTCCCCCATGACGGATGTCCCATCTGTGTTCTCACTAAGGGAAGGAACAAGGTTGGCGCTGCCTGGATATCTCCCTCAACGGGACCTAGCAAGTCACAGTTCTGTGTGTCCCTACCTGGAAAGGGTCACTTTCATCTGGCTGACTCCTCTCACTCAAGAGCCACACGGGCACCCCTTCCTCCAGGAAGCCTGCCCTGACCAATCCCAGCCCAGCTTCGGGGACCCTCCACCGAACTCCCGTATCTCACGACTCTCTATCCGGGCCGATGCGACACTGCAGTAGGGGGCACCCCGCTGACCTTGCTCCAGCCAGAACCGGACGTCCTCCTGGCGAGTGTAGATGCTCTCTGCGGCCTCGGCGCACACGTTGCGGAGGTGGGGGCTCAGCAGGCCCCCCTGGCTGAAGTTGACGGCGATGTCCATGTGCAGGTGCTCCAGGCCCCGCACCTCCTCGGCCTGCCGCACCGCCCGTGGGTTCTTCTGCGGGGAGAAGAAGAGCCGCTCCCACCCGGCCTCAGAATGCTCTGCCCACCCCTTGCTTGGTGCCCAAGTGTCAGACAAGCCAAGGCTGGTGGCGCTTAGAGCCCTGGGGCAGGCTGGCCTTCAAGGGGCGCTAAGCATCGCCTCCACCTGGTGGAGAAACCAATGTTCAGGGCAGAGCCAAGCCCTTCCGGCTGGCCACTGGCTGACATCTGAGGCTGATGGGGAATTCTGACAGTGGCTGGGGGTGGCGCAGGTGGCCAGCCAGGCAAGCTGTCCCAAAGCAAATGACCTCTGGGGTCCCAGACTTTCCAACATGCAGGCGGTGGGGTCTCTGGGAAGGGCCTCGAACAGGCCCTGCTGGAGGGTTTTGGAACTTAGGGGAGGCTGGGGAGCGGCCCAGGGTCCAGGAAGGGTCGGGGCACAGACCAGCAGGCTGGAGTGTTCTGAACACGGCGTGCATTAGCTCATTTAATTCCCAGAACTCATTTCTCAGTAAGAAAATAAAGGCCTTGGGGCGCCTGGGTGGCTCTGCCTCAGGCTCATGGCTCAGGTCATGATCTCAGGTCCTGGGATCGAGCCCCGCATCGGGCTCTCTGCTCAGCAGGGAGCCTGCTTCCCTTCCTCTCTCTCTGCCTGCCTCTCTGCCTACTTGTGATCTCTGTCTGTCAAATAAATAAATAAAATCTTAAAAAAAAAAAAAAAGGAGGAAAGAAAAGAAAATAAAGGCCTTGCTGGCGAGGTCACTCCTGCAGTGTCACCTGGATGAGAAGTGGTGGCAGCTTGACCTCAGAGTCCCAGCCCCCAGCCTCCACCATAAAGAGGGTAGAGCTGAGATTAGGGGACTGGAGGGATCTGGCAGTTGGGGGAGGCCCTGCAGATTAGCGATCTGGATGATGGGGTTCTGTATGGCCTAGGGCACAATCAGGGGGCTGGGGAGTACAGGGGGAGAGTGGGGTGTCAGGGAAGAGGGCCAGGGTGGGTCAGGTGCCGGGTGGGAGACTGAAGTTGGGGTAGGGTCCGGGCTTGGGACCAGGCTGGCTGCAGGGCTTGGAGTGGGGGCGGGGGGCGCGCCGGGGCAGCAACCAGGCCAGGGCAGGCCCGAGGCGAGCACTCACCTGTCGAAGCTTGGCCATGGCCTCACTGGGGATGATCTCATTGTGGTGCAGCCGGGTGACAAAGCAAAGTGCCTGGAACTGACTCTGCCCCTTCTCCAGCTCCCCCAGGATCAGGGCTCGGAAGATCTTTACATCCTGATGGGAAAGGGCAGGAGGATGGGGACCCGCTGGAGCGGATGGGCGCCCCCCACCCCAGCCCACCTAGCGCTCCGCTCAGGCCTTGGACAGGACACAGGCCCAGACCCCGCCCTGCAATGGACATTTCCCTCCTGCTGGCCTAGGAATTTTTTTCTTTCCCATTTAAACCTGTGACTTGAAAGAAACACACCCCAGATGTTCCAAAGCCTCCTGGCAAATCTCACAGCGGGAACCACTGGAAAGTTTTCCCAAACAGAGTTGTTTATAAGTACAGAACTTCACCTGAAAAACAGCACCTTTGTTTGGTGCCTATTCACAGCTGGGCCCTCGGTGGCACCCCTGTGGCCCCCAGATCAGGGTGGGTCACAGCCCCTATAAACTACCGGACCAGGTGTACTAGGGGAGGGATTGAACTTCTGACAAGCCTAGATCCCAGAGTTCCTCTCACAGACATTCTTATTCGGGAGGTGTGGGGGAGGCCCAGAAACTGGTGCCCCTCAAAAGGCCTCAGGGTTTCTGATCAGCCAGCCTCCTGGCCATCCCCATCTCAGAGGGAGGGAGTGGGCACAGGATGGGGCTGAGGACAGACACCGCTCAGGCCAGCTGTAGCTGTTGCAAACTTCTGGCCAGACGGACTGGCGGGGCTCACCTTTCCCCTCCCCTCTCCACTTCCCCTTTTCCCATGGGGTTACTAATGGCATTACCAGCAGGCCAATGGCTCTTTCCTGTTCCTCAGGCATTGCATGAATGTGGGGGGGGGCGCTGGAGGGGAGCAGAGGGAGAAGGGAGAGGGGCCGCAGGGGAGGATGGGGTCCCCCTCCCAGTCTGGCTGTGGAACCCTGTGCTCTCACCCAACTCTGGGCCTTGGCTAACTGCTCCCAGTGAGAAGTCAGCAGGTCCCAGTCAGAAGTGGTCTAAATCTGTCAAGAACCCCCACCCCAGCCAGGGAGGTCCCCTGGCCATAATGACCATCCCACTCCAGTGTCCCAACGGCCCTGTCTTGGCACTGGGCATACACAGCCCTGCTAGCTGTGCGTCTTTCAATGAGCGTGCCCTGGCTTCGCCCATTAAGAGAGCCCGCATTCTCGGAAGGCTTCCTGAGCGCCCACTAGAGTACACGTGCTCTGAAACGGGGGCCAAGGACTCCCTTGGGTTCCTTTAACACAACGAGGTGGAGCTGCACCCAACTCTGCAACGTATTAGCCAGGGCCCAGCCATAGGTTCCAGCTTCTGTAAGCCTCACTTGTAAGACGGGGACACTAAGGCATTTAGCTGGTCAGGTTGTGGTGAAAACTGAGTGAGTGTACAGGGCCTAGAAGGACGTCCACCCCGACCCAGTGCTCAGCAGGGGCTCACTGGGGGGGCATCTCCTCCCTACAGGTGACTGGAGCCAGTCACTGCCACCATCCCACAAAGCCCCACGCGCTTGTCAAGTCCCTTGCCTCTCCAGGGACGTTTCTCTTGATTCCTTTTACTACAAATGATCTCTAGGACAAGGGGGTGTGGGCATGTGTGGGAAGATTTTCCACCAATAGTGCAGAAAGGGAGACTGAGGCCCAGCTGGTGAGAACGTCCCCATGAGGGTTTTGTTGATGCCAGACTTGTGGGGAAGGTGAATCAGAGCTCGGGTGAACCCCAGCTTCCTCTAGACAGGAAATCCGCTCTTGGGCCACGAGGCTGGACTCTCCCCGCCCTGCCAGCCTGGGCCACCTGATCTTTAATTCGCTCGGGTCGACTGGAGGCTGGCCCATTCGTGTACTTTCCACTTGGGGCTCACTTCCTGCCAGGTGAGACCCGATACCAGACTTCCCCTCTGAAGGCTGGAGTCAGCTGGGTGTCCCTGGCAGAACCCTGGGGGCGGGGGCGGGAGCTGACATCTATCTCCCGGGGATTTTCAGCAATGACTCTTTAAAAGAGCCTTATCTGTGGGGCGCCTGGGTGGCTCAGTGGGTTACACCTCTGCCTTCGGCTCAGGTCATGATCTCAGGGTCCTGGGATTGAGCCCGGCATTGGGCTCTCTGCTCAGCGGGGAGCCTGCTTCCCCCCCCACCCCGTCTGCCTCTCTGTCTACTTGCGATCCCTCCCCCTCTCTCTCTCTCAAATAAATAAATAAATAAAATCTTAAAAAAAAAAAAAGAGGTTTATCTGGAACAGTCACAGTGTCCTTTCCAAAGCTACCTCCACATGCCAAATCCTGGGGTCCAATGGCTGCGGAGTGGTCTCTCTGCTCAGGGATATCCCCTGCCCACTGTTAAGAGAAAGCATTTGGACTCTTGGAGCAGACAGGGGGTAAACAATCACGTGTTCTAGTCTTTCCCTCACTCTGTTGTATTAAACAACAATGTTGGCAACATCAGCAAAATGATACCAAAATGGGAATCTGACGGGGGGTAAAGATAGGGACCGAGGATTTCTCATTGACAGAGAAGATCTACCTATGGAGGGCATGGATTTATTGAAGCTTATAACTGGAAGGGACAAGTCATTGTTATTATGAGTCAAATAGGATGTACTGTCCTGTTTAAAATCTTTACAATAACAGGAGGTAGGGAGGATGATTATGACTTAGTTGGGAACGGGTTACTTGCCTCAAGGTCATGGGACTAGGAGGAAATGTGGCTGGAATTTTAACCCGGAGCAGTCTGACTCCCAAGCCTGCGGTCTCTCGGCCACAAGGCCCCACTGCCTCCCAGATGTCCTCGGTGGCTTGAGAAACCAAAGCCCAGGCCCAGAGAGGCAGGGTGGTCTGCCCTTGGCCACACAATTGCAAATGGCAGAACCAGGATCAGAATTCAGTTTCCTCTTCCAGCTATGCCTGGAAGTCCTGTGTAGACCTGCCCTGGGAGTGTGGCAGCTGGCATTCACAGTTCTGTGTGACTAACAAGAACCAGCGTCTGACACAGAGAGGAGGGCTCCCGAGGCCAGGTCATCTTTCTGTCCCACCTGCCAGCCTGCCTGCCCAGAACCTTTGTGGACCCTACATTCTCCAGTCTTCCTAGCCCTATTTCTCCACAAAAACCACCTTCCACTTGCTGACTCTGGGACGGAGAGGCCACCCCTAACTTCTGGACCTACTTGGCTCCATTATCCTGGCCGGTGTCCCTCCTACCTTCTACTCTCTACACCTGACTCACTGCCAAGGTTCCAGGAGCCCCTCTCCCCACAGCACAGAGGAAAGGGCAGGGGGACAGGTCTCCCTGCTTCAGCAAACATCTGGCCAGATGCTAGGCCCCGGCCAAAAGGAAGCCTGGCTCCCAAGTTTCCTCCTTGCCTGAGAGTGCCCTGGGATGAGTCACCCGGATGTGAACTCGTGCCCAAGGCAGATGTCACAGCTGGGGATGTCCTGGCACTGGAGGCAGGTTTCTCAGGTCCAGGACTCAGGCTAGGACTCCCGAGATGGCAGTTTCTGTAAGGCTACTGCTTGTGTGAGCTCCTGGGAATCTCTAGCCCGATGGGAAGCCGCAGAGCCTTCCGGGACCAGGGCTGATCCCCAGGCACCAGGGAGAGGCTCATGTACCATGGAGGTCACCATCACTGGCTGAAGTCCTTTGTGGTTTTAAGCAAAGCTCAGGAGCAGACAGGTTGTAGGACGGCACGGTAGTCACGAGCAAAGGCTCTGGTGTCCACACTATCTACGTTCCAATGCTGGCTTTGCTGACACCAGCCGTGGGACCTTGGGGGAATGCATGTCCCCCCGTACCTTAGTTTCCACATCTGTTAAATGAGTTAAACTAACAATACCTACACCTCCGGGGATTACTGTGAGGAGAAAATGAGTGAAAGGTCTCAGAACACAGTGGGCTGAACCCTTTGTCTAGTATCGCTGTGATCTCGGCCTGGCTCCAGCTGTGATCTCCTCCAGACCTGTCCAAGCAGGAGCAAAGACTGTTCTCCTCAAGATGCACTTGAGGCCCAGAGAGGTCGGGGGACTCCTCTGGGGCTTGTAGGGAATCTGCAAACCCGTGAGAGAGCACTGGTTAGCATTACATAGGGCACAGCCTTCACAGGCACCAGGCTGGGTGGGAAAATAGCCAAGACCAAGGCAGAGGCCCCAGTCTTCAAGGAGCTCATGGAGAGGCTGACCTCCTATGAGTCAGTGCACCACATAAGGCCTGGGGTTGAGGTTTATGACAAGTGCTATGGGGCAAAGGATGGATGAAGGGGCACTTGCTGTCCCCTTAGGGAAGGGACTGGGAGGTAGGGAGGGAGGGAAGACTTTTCCAGAATGAGGGACACTTCAGGGGTCCCAGACAGTCCAAGGATGGGGGGTGCTTTCTAGCAAAGAGAGAGAAGAATTTACACAAGACAGGGAGATGGAAGGTTCTCCTAAGACCCCCACCCAATCTGTCCCTCCACGTTGTTACTGATCTGCCCAATGCCCTTTGGAAGCTCCTTTTGCCCTCGCCCTAAAGTGTACCCTCCTGAGGCTGGCCTCCACCGCCACCGCCAGCTTGTCTTGTACTCCCTGAGCATTGAACTAAAGGGCGGGCAGTTCCCAGAAGAAGTGATGAGGCCTTGGGCCTGTCCCTGAGCTGATTCCTCTGCTGGGGCTGCCCTGTCCCCTTCTGCCTATCATCTCTCAGGGCTCGGTTCCAATGCGTCCCCTCTTCCAGCCTGTCCTCCCAACGCTGCCCTCAGCAACCTGCCAGCAGACTCAGGAGGCCCAGCTCCTAACCTCGCCAGCACAAGCTCGGTGGTCTGTGGCCATCTCCTGCCGTACCTTCCAGACTCAGCTCCTTGAGGCTGGGAAAGCATCTTCTTGGCAGTGATTCCCCGCCCCTAGACCACAGCAGGTGCTCCGTACGTGCCTGGGAATGAATGGACGGAGGAAGGAGCACACAAAGGAGAGCATGGAAGCATCCTGAACAAACGACCAGGGACGGGGTGGGGCGAGGGAGGGCAAAGGGGTAGGAGGAAGAGGCTGGTATGAGGGGTGGGTCTGAGAGTCCAGCCGAGGAGTCTGAGCTCCAGCTAGCCCATCACTGGAAGTCACTGGT